ACTAGCGAGTAAGTGAAAATATTGAATGCATTCCTTCCATTTGGATGGGCTGAACCTCTTAATTCCTCATCATTATGGATCACAATATAAAATTCATATTAGCTCCACAAAAATAATTTTTCATTCAGTTTATTGCTATTTTGCAACATCTATCTGAAAACTCTAGACAGTACCACTGTTTAACAAGACCGTTAAGTACTCTGATCAGAGATCTGAGTATTTGTCTTTTACAAACTAGACCTAACCCACCATATATTCCTGGCCAGTTTTGTAACTGCTTGGCCTGTATCAGCTTTGACCTTTGTTTAAGCAGCTTCAGAACTGTGTATTTTACCCACTTCTCTGTATTTTTCATCGTTTTGTGTTTCCAGCTGATAAGCCACAGCTTATAGAACGGGTTGTTTGTATTAGACCCTGAAATGTTGTCCTATTGAATTTTATCTTGGGACTGGCTCCGTCTTCAAGGTCGTCTAATACCTGTTTCATGCTAGACTAGTAATGCGCTTAATTAATGGTATGTATTAATATTGAATGATCAATATATTTAATCAGTGCCCTTCCTATTTCATTTTTGCACCTACCTCAAACTAGATTGTTTTTTAATCATTATTTGCTATCTTGACTGTCCTTCTATTAAAGTTTATCTGCTTGTATGTATGTTCAGATATTGCTGGAAAAATTTGAACTAGTTTACTCACATCCCTTGGGACTAGCTTTACAGTGGGCTTGGGAATACCGTGAAGGAGTCTCATCTCAGCAGTTACAAGCTGTTAATCAAACCACTCACCATAGACAGCAGAGACCCAGGTTTAGTTTCCTTGCCTGAATCTAACAGAGCAGGAGACTTCATCTCTCTTTCCTACATCATGGATGAATATCTTGACGTCAAGCTATTTCTTTTTTCTCTGTTGTCTCTCTTTTTTTTTTTTTTTTTTTTTTTTTGATCGCAGTGAGGGAGAGAAAAAAAAAGGTTTAATTCTGGTACAAAGCAAGCAGTTCTTGAAATCTCAGAAATGTCACGGAAAGTGAAACTTATTTCCCATCTTACCATGTATTTTTTTTCTTAACCAAAGTCAGGACTGCTTGTTTCTGTCAAAGTGCCTCTTTACTTGCTGAAGATATTTATAAAGTGATGCACAGAACTGCTGCTGCTGCCCAAAGCTGAAAATGAAAAGTGCCTCTGCAGCACTTTTAGTAGGTCTTGCAGTGAGAGACTGGGTGCATCCAATTTTGCTGTGTTGTCTGCTCATACAGAGCTAGAACGATTTTTTTTAATCTAATTTATTGTTCAGTAGAGTGGCAAGTGGAAACACACCTTCTTTTTGTACTTTGAAGAAAAGGGTGGTTACACCACCCACACAGTGCTTGACACTTGATAACACCTAATACTTGTGATGAGCATTTGACATTTTGAAAATTGGTGAGAAAAATGTAAAACAGAAGTCCTAAAGAATTATGAGAGAAACAAGATTCTTAGCTGCTCTTTGCTCCTCATGATAATTTTTCCTTTTGTTTGCGGTGAGTGGCTAAAGAGGTCAGAGCAGCACAGACTAGAAAGTAATTAAGGCTTCTTCTTTAATTAAACAGTAGAAGATGATGAGTGACATTTGCATTTGTCGATAGCTTCTTTACAGTAAATGAATTGCCGGATGGTTGATATTGCTGTATTCCCGTTGATTTCCTTTGGCTTCCTGGCCGGGGCTGTAGCACAGATCACTATTGTCTCGCCCATCTGTTGAGGATGTGTTTCCATTGAGGCTGCTCGCGCCCAGACGTTTGAACGACTTCCCCGTTGAGCAGCTGTACGTGCATCGCCCCACTGCCGCACGCGGGACGTTCCTGTAGGTGACCAGCGCTTTGGGACACGCAGCCTGCGTTTGTTTCTCTCACCGACTGTCCCATCTGTGCACTGCGTGTTTGAACTGGATAACTAGTGAGGAGCATGACTTAGGAAGTGCACGCTCAGTTTTAGTGGTTGTGTTATCATTTCTCTTGAATGATTGAGTCATGTATCTGCCTGCCAGCAAGACACAAGGGAGCAGAAGTAATGTCATTAGGGAGGAAGCTCATCAGAGCATTTGCAGTTTTTGGTCCAGATCCTGAACTGTGCTCCACACCTTTTTACCCCTGGTGAGGGTGTTGCTGCTTGAAGGTACTGGGTGGGTTAGTTCATTGTCATTAGTTGCTAGAACCAAAGCGTAAAGTTTGATACACACTGTGATGTAGTTAACCTTTTCGCACTGTGGCTTTTTGTCCCCATGCTTCCTTAAGAGTTGTGGCATATATGGGAGGTTGCCGCTCTCCTAGCTACAGACAACCTGGCATTGTATTTTGGTTTAAAGAAACTGCTGTTCGCTTTCAAAAAAGAAACTTCTGAAGTTCCTGTCCTTCCTGGATGGAAATCATATCCATTTAAGCTGACTCTGTGTATATAAATAACAGAGATGTGCATTTAAAGATGTGTGCTGTAGCAGAGAAAAATTGCATTACAAGATTTAAACCAAGATTTGGTTTGTTTAATCTATGTTCAGTCCTTTTTTTCTTCTTGATAGAATTATCACAAGTATGATGATAAGATAAATGTCATGTGGGGCTGTGTAGACAGACCTAGCTATGGGATGATGGTATACCATGGTATACCATCACTACTACACCAGATATTACAGTGCTCAGTGTATTTCCCAGCAGAGTAGCCAATATTCTCTTCAACTGGCCAGTAATGTAATTATAGCAAGGTAAATAACATTAAAGGTGATTAGAGGAAAAAAAGAAAAGTCAAGATGTACTGATTTATCGTAGCATTTTTATGATTTTTAAGGAATGTATATTCACCTTCATACTTTCTCTGCAGTTATTTCCAACTAAGCTTCATAATGCTATATACTGAAATGTTTTCGGTATGCTCATTGCTGTGACGTTTCTCTTATTTGGGTGGGCACTCTTTACAGTTTTGGTTCCAGTTTTGCTTGAAGGGATAATGATTGCCCAGGCTTATAGAATAAGTTTTCCCACTGCTACTTCACATCATCCTTGTTAATACAAATTCACTTGCAGAGCCAAAGCCAATCTGAAGGTTTGAAGAAAACAGTTTGTATGGTTTGTTTTGTTATTCTTCTTCAATTTAACGCTACAGGTATTGAGAATCTCAGTGCTAAACTTGCTGATGTGTTACTGTCCTTGCCTATTACAAGATAATAATCATTTTATTTGTGTGGGTTAGAGGATGCAATGGAGATGTGTGGAGATCTTTAGCTATGCAGCTGATGTTGTTGACTCTCTGCTCTTTGGGAATAGTTTTGATGGCTTAAAGGAGCAAATCCAAAGGAAATACGCTTTCATAGGAAAAGGAGGAAGGGGAGACAGGATATGGATGCTAAGCTGATTAACAAGCCATAAAGCCATACTTCCTTCCTTTTTTCCTTCCCAGTGTTAGTTTGGCACACAACGTGCAATAGGATGTCATTTTTCACCTTGGATCTCTTCCATATCACTTTTTTAGTTACTACCATTTAAACTGATGTTTACTGTTGGTTGCCCTAACTACAATCAGAAACAGAATGTGTCAATAGCAAATACTATAAAAATGCCCAAGGCAATATAAACCGATCTACAATTCTATAGACTGCAAATTAAAAACAAAGATGAGAGTGATGGGAGGAAGAGATAGATCATCTGGACAAAGTGATATGATACTTCGGGTGTTATTTTCCTGATTTGTTCTTTTTGTATTGTCTACTGATTGTTTTCCCTTTTGTATGTGTGTCACACTTACATCTTCTGCTTACCTGAGGTAGTCAGCTACTTAAGTATTGCTTATCTAAGTTTTGCTTCCTGTTTTTTAAAGGACTAGAAACTTTAATGGCCACTTCATAAAATCAGAGAAATGACATAGTTTTGTTCTCATTGGATAGTCACCTGAGATCAAATTGTAGATCCTTTTTGCTACTATGTAATCGGTCTTAAGTTTATCTTGGCTGGAGGTGAGAGGAACAAGAGGTGTATTAAAATGCAGGGTGAATGTTGGGTATAACCAAACCTGTGGCATCTAGGTGGAAAAGTGTCAACTTTGATGTTAAACTTCCTCTTAATAACACAGGGAAAAATAAAAAGATGATATTATGCTGAGTTGCTTCCTCCCATCACCCACAGAGAGCGCAACACTTCTTTCTCTTTGGCTTTCCTGTGAAGTGCTAATCTCTGTGCCATGTTCTGTCTTCTCAGGAATGTTCTTCGCTGTCTATGAAGTGCACTTTTCTGCCCTAAAATACCCATTTTCATCTCCAGTCTGGTCCATTACTCTTTATATAAGTGTCCGGCCTTGTTGCATCTTGTACATCTTGTTATATCTTGACTTTACATGTAAATATTGTTGATTGCTATGCTCTGTCAACAGGCAAAGCGAGGCAGTACCTACTGTGGTTTTTAGATTGTCCCAGTTTGTACATACGTGTGCTGCAAACTTAGCAAAATTGGTAAACTGGTAATGACAATAAGAGGTTTTGTTCAGTGTTGTGGCCTGTGGTATTTGTTCCAAGGCAGAATTCTCTTCTTAAGTTTAAGGGATTCAGGACTAAGTCATGTCACAGTGTGCTCATTCAAGGGGAAAAACTGAGTGCATTTAATTCTTCCCTTTGGTTGCTTCAGCAGTCGATGCAAAGTGAGCTCCCGGTAGATAATGTCACCTTAGAAAGCGTGATGAAAGCAAGAACATTAGGCTTATTTTTGTAAATGCAGTATGCACATTGCTTCATGTTGGTGTTAGATGGTGTTAGATATCCAGCTGCTGCTTTGACAGCAGAATTCCCATCCGTAGTCTGAGTTGTTTCTCTTTGTTCTGACTCTTGTTATGTTATATTCAGGGAGAAGTGAGGATTTTGTATTCTCTCACCCTCCCTATAGCAATTCTATTGTACCTTTAAAAAAAAAAAAAAAAAAAGAAAGAAAGAAAAAGAAAATCTCTTCCTATCCTATCTAATTTTTTTTTTTCCTTTCAAATGCAGATTTCAGCAATGTGCCTGATGTCACAGCCAGCTTGAAAAGAAGCAGTACCGATGGCACCCTGGACCAAGTACCACACCGCGAAAAGGCTGATCCATCCTTCAGAGTAAGAACATATTTGCTGTAACAATCATAATAGTTAAAAAGACAGTGTTGTCCTAGTGTTGACACTCTGCATTTGGGGGGAAATAGTTTAATGTATGGTGCAATTTTGGTAAAAATTCAAATGCATATTTATAGCTTTGCTTAGTGTTTTATTAACCTGAGGTCAGTCTGGCAGGTCAACATCTAAGGACCAGCTGCTGCATGTCTAACAGCTCCGTGATAGGGGCAGATGGCAAATAGGTGGAGACTGTCAAATTCATCTGTATGGGTCACTGTCAAATTCATCTGTATGGGTTACTTGAAGTGAGCTCTTGACAGAGCAGTAAAACTGCTGCTGCTTTTTAACTGTTTCAGTTTGGTTAGCTCTATTTGCAGATACTTTTGGGACTTGTAAAGGTTTTGACCTTGCCATTAATGATATTAAGAATGCAGTGACATAACAACACTTACAGGTAACTATATTTTGACTGCTCCACAGATTTTGAGCAGTTCAGGACTTGACTGCCCAGTGATTGGTGCTGCCTAATTCGGAGAATCTTTGTGTATCTGTGGTTACCATCCACCCTCGGCAGGAGTAATGGATATACAGAACTTCCTTAGATCAGGAGACAGAGACAGGGACCCCTTAAATTAGTGTCCACTTTTGATCTCATTGCTCATGAAATGGCATTATTTTTGTCCTGATTGCTCAAATCTGCAGTAATGTTTTCCTCTGTGTGGCTATGGTTTCACTTGGCATTGCTTTTTGACAAAGGATTTGGTTTTGATACTTCTGTTGATGAACTGATTGTACCTCAAAGCAGATGTATAATAACACATGTTGCACTGTTGGGTCACAGAAATTAAGATACAGGTTTTTATGGTTTTGCATTATATCTCTGTATGCACTAGGCTGTACAAGGTAATCGGCTAAAACGATAATTCAGCTAAGGCTGAATCTAAAAATTGTGAAGAAGAAGAAAGAATCAGGAAGAAATATTGTGCCTTACCTACACAGAGGACCCAATCCTCTTCTACCCTGAGAATTTTTCTGTAATCTGCTTCAGTTCAATATAGTTCAATGTGGTTTCTCCAGTGAATGTGTACCTTTAGCCCTTTGGAGCTACCCAAAGAGGCAGTCTGTATCCTATGCTGCAGACTGGATGTTCTCCCACAGATTGTTTGCAGCGGATGAGATATAAGCTGGATTTATAAACTGAATTGGCCTCCTCAAAACACTATGTTTCTTTGAAAGAATAATGTAGGTTTCTGTACTGTGTTGTTTCAGGAAAATATGTCATATTGTGGGGTCAAAGCATCCATCTTCATGAGCAACCAACACAGATCAGTGCCGGGCTCAGTGCAGGAGGACCCTGCCACCTGGGGCAGCCTGGTGCTCAGGGAGGGTCCGGTGGGTGCTTCCCAGGGCTCGGGGCACCCGCTCGCCCTCCGCCGCGCTGCTGGAGCTGCCTTGAGCGCTGCCTTGAGCGCACGGCGGGGACGTGCGTGACTGAGCTCCCAGCTGGCTGGAGCCGGGGAGATTTTTCTGCTTTAACTTAACTTCAGTAGAAAAAACAAGGATTTTTTTTGCCAAACTCATTCCTGGTTGCTTGTCTCAGATACACTAGGTGATGGAGAACTGGAGAGAATGTGGCAGGCTTAAATACACAGAAAAATTAATTTACAGTAGCTGTTGCTCTGAATGCACTACTGTAAATTATGTGCTGTAATTGCGGTCCCAAAAGAAAAGGGGAAAACATACAGATTTGTTCCCTGGCCTCTCCCCCCGGTCTCCAATGTGTTGTATGAGTATTAATATATTGTGCACAATTTGTTAAAGTAACTGCCCTTACCATATTGCAGTTCAGTTCTTGGGCTGGCATGCACGTCTGCTTGTGTCATTTTGTTAGAAACTCTCCGAAGCTGCCCTAGTTTTCTAAGTGCAAGAAGGAAAGTGGTTTGGCAGTCAAAGGCAGTTAGACTTAAACTGCAGCTGTAAATGAGTCTGCGACAGCTCTACAATTTCTGCAAATGGTTTGTAATTGGTTGCCATCTTTCTGCTGGAGGGTGCCTATTACTGTCAGAGCTCTTTGTCTGACCCTTTTGATTTCTCAAATAAATGCAGAATTCAAAAAAAAAATATATATACAGTAAATTTAGAAAGTGGGGTATACTCTGTGCTGTGGTGATTGGTTATAAAAGGACCTTAAATGATTTCTGTTTTCATAGCTGCGATTTGGGAGTGCTCACCAGATGAACAATAGCTATTGCTAATAAAAACTAGATTGAGGAAATTTTGCAGCCTCAAAGAGGATAGCATCTGTTAGGTTGAGGGGTTTTGTTTGTTTTTTCTTTTTTTTTTTCCTTTGCCTTCTGTTTCCTGCATGTGCTAACTTGATGCATGCCTGTGGCAGAAGCGTAGCGCAGGCACCTCGGCGTTATGCAATGCCACAGAAGTATGGGGGAGAGGAGGGCTGGAGCTACGCGGCGCTGGGGAAGACGTTGGTGGCGCTAAGAGGTTCTGAACACGACTTGGAACAACAGGCAGTTGGGGATTATTTCAGGGGAGAGACAGCTAGAGATGCTCATTTCCCAGTTGACAGCAGCTGTAGATGTAATCGCTTGGCTCTGAGGGAACAGGCTCCTTTGAAGTTTGATCTTTTTTTGCCTTATAACATGTAAGTAAACAAAACCCAACCTTAAAGCTTTTGATGTAATAGTCGTAAATTTGATTCCTTTATTTCTTGTTTCTCATTTGAAGTTTTTTTATTGTTGATGCTTTTCCCTCTTAACCTCTTCATGCTATACCAAGTTAGGGTTAAACATTGTCTTAAATGTAAGCACAGTGAGGTATTTGAGAAGTACCTGTTAATTTGAAAGAAATAAGTATTTTGTTTCACGTGTACTACATTCCAGCATGCATTCACCCATTCGTTCTTTTTATCGTCCAAGAAGTGAATGAATTTAGGATATTCTTGTTTGTCTTTCATCTTATATCTAGCTAATGAATTAGAAGTGTGCCAAAGGTTTATTTCATTCCAGAAATGGAAACTGTTCCTGAAGTCATAAAAGGAACACATGAGCTCCAGGAATGATCCTTTCCACATGCTCAGCAGTTTGGTCAGGTCCATAGTTTCTGGGATACCCCATGTATAACTTTAAAGAAAACCTCCTTTGACTTCGTTTGCTTTTTTCTTCTTTTTTTTTTTTTTTTTTTTTTTTTTTTTTAACTAGGACAGATGTCATCCTTTAGCACATTTTGTTTTAGTATATTTTCAAATTGTTAAAATATTGTTTACGTGTCAGTGACTTGTAAGCCTCACAGTTGTTATTTCTGAACTATGTAGGTGCAGAAATCTGAGACTGCAGTATGCCTGTCAATGCAATTAGGTTTAGCTGAGTTTTAATCATTTTGAGAACTAATTGTCTCCTGGTGCTCCTGGTGAATAGTTAAATCCTGATATTGACAGTTGCCAAGAATTAAGCATGAGAGTAGCAGAAAGCTGAATACAAAATGAAACTTTTCATTTAGCTACTTACAATGCCTAAATGCAAGCTGTATTGGTCAGTAATTCTTCTTTCTAACCATAGTTTCTTTTAACAAGAAATCAAGTATTTTGTTACTAACTTGCTTGTCTTTACTTTGCATTTTCAGTATTACTACAACAAAAAGATGAGATTTCACTATATAATTCTCTTCTGTTCTAAGGGTTTCTCATAATACTGCTGTGATTTGACTTTCAGCTGCTCTAAATCTTTCGAGTATCATCAGAGATCACAATTTCCCAAATCAAATAAAATTTGAATAGAAGAAGGATGTTCATATAAATGCATCTGTGAGAAAGGGAAGACACATTTTCATTTTGAATATTTTGCAGATTTTAACAAAGCAAATACAGTAACTACTAATGTTTGAAATAATGTTACTGTATATTTTCAGGCAGAGTTCATAGAGATAGACACTTTCATGCATTTAGCTATTTTTGAAGAGATTTCTTATTCTGATGCTTTAATCAAGGGAAAAATAGTCAATGAATGCAGAATGGTTTTCTGTTGAAATCTTCAAAAATTAACATTGAAGATGCAAATACAGAAGCTCATGTGAGGAGAAAATTTGAATGGTGACAGGATTTTTGCTTTCTGCATAACACCCGGCAGGTTTAATTTCATAAAGTTTAGAAGTGCAATATACCATTCAAAAGAAAAAAAATTGATACTAGAAATAAATTGGGTATGAGAGACTCTTAGAAATTGCCTTTGCTTTGCTAATGCTTCTGGATATAGTTAATCTGCTGTCAGAGCAGATCATTGATCATACTCTAGTGTCTGTGTTAGTACAAGTCTATCTACATTGCCTTTAGCAAAAAAAAAAAAAGGAAAAAAAAGATAACGCTGCATACAGCATAGGGTGAAAAATAAATATTTTTCCTTCTTCCTATCTTTAGAGCAGCATTTTTTAATGCTATCAACAGAAACGCTGGTTAAAAATCATTGAATACCTTTTCTAATAATGAACTGATTCAGATTAGCTCAACTCGCCCCTTCTCTACTCCTCTTTAACAACAGCTTTCACGTTCTCTTCATCGGATGAGGAAATGAATAACCTGACACAAGTATTGTCAACAGAATGTGTAGAACCTTTTGCAAAGAGAAATTGTCATTTCCTAATAGAGTGGAGTATTTTCTTCAAAAAATACCCTTTTGTTTTTCATAGAGGAGGTATGGGTCAGTGTATTGACCCAACTAAAAATATCCATGCTTATTCTATTAGCTAGAAAGTGAAAGTAGAAAAAAAAATACATATTGCATATACTTGGGCGTTTCAGAAGTCTGCTTTTGGACACTCTAGCGTCCCGTATAGTGTCAAATCCTCCTTTTGGTGTTTTTGAAGCTTTCTTGTTGTGATACCAGTTTTGGACAATCCATTATTTCCCAGGGGACCTTTGCAAGTGTGATGAGAGGTGGATGTTTTTATAAATGCTTCATGCCAGGGCCATGGTGAAATGCTCGACTTTGGCCTCC